GGAGAACAAATGATTACAGCATTTCCTTTGGCTGGAGTCATACAAATTGCTTTCCAAAGACAGTACTGAGCCTCAGATAATTCAGACTGCCTCAAAGTCCTGAAGAGTAAAAGAAATCTCCACTACTAGAGACAGAAGAAAGCATTTACTGTGCAAATTATGGGGGTCCCTCACCTTCCTGTCACCACACTAACAGGCCACCTGCCTGTAACAGGACCAACCATAAGTAGGCAACTGCCCCTCCCCCCATTTAGGGGAGGCCTTAGATGTAAACAGGTCTTCACAACTGCACTGGTACCATGCCTGCTGCCTAATCTCATTGATTCTACAGGTCTACGACTGTTAATGGATTGTATCTCTAGGTACAAAGCTGAAGAGCCAAGAATAAAATGCTCACCTCACAATTTACTTTTGGAAAGCTCAACATCTTACTTTTTTCACGTTTTTGGATTGCAACACAAACATCACAGACTTTCTGATACAAAATGTCTTTTTTTTATTTGGTAGTAGATATAAATTTAGGAAGTGTTCAGTTTAGTTTTAAAAAATGATATAACAATTTGAAGCACATTGGTGGCCATGACCTCCTTTCGTTAATGTTTTGTGCAATAAATGTTTAAATGGTTCAGTCGATATCAAAATCAATCTGTCCTATTGCTTTACTTCTTTAAAAAAAAAAAGCTTAGGTGTTAAAATGCCAATTTGTAGTCATTCACCAGCTTCACTTAAGTGACTTGATCATGCTTCGTTAAATGAAAACAATGGTCTCAGAGCGATAGCAGTACCAAATGTGAGAACAGATTATGTATAAGAAAAAAAACAAAACCTCAAAACAGGTGAGATTGGTGAAGGAAAAAATCAGAGTAAAATATTAATAAGAAAGTGTTTACATTTTCTAATATGATGACTCAGCAATTCCTGTTCTAGGAGTTTATATAGTGGAGAACAAAAGAAGCAAAATAACTATATATTATGACTATTTCCATGTTATTTTGTATTCTTCTACAGTAGGGGTTAGCAAACTTTTTCTGTAAGGGGCCAGAGAGCAAATGTTTTAGGCCTTGCAAAAACATGATCTGTTGCAACTGTTCAACTCTGCAGTTGTAGCATGAAAGTAGCCATGGAAAATAAGTTAATGAATGAGAATGGCTGTGTTCCAATGATATTTTACTTATGGACACTGGATTTCATATAGTTTCATACAGTTTTCATGTGTCATCAAATAATCTTTTTATTTTTCAACCACTTAAAGACGTAAAAACTACTCTGTGCTGGACAGGATTTAGCTCAAGGACAATAGTTTGCTGATCCCTGTTCTATAGAATCATTTATTAAAGGTTGCATGTATGTATTCCATTCTATTAGCTGAAGTTTTTCACTTATGTAAACATCACTAGGATTACATTTTTTAGCAGTATAGTTTTACATTCATCTCTAACTATTTCCTTTAGATAAATTCCTAGAGGTGAAATTGCTGGGTCAAAAAGATAGGTAAAATTCTAAGCACCCCTACCTCTCTTATCTTTTTATTACATTCTTCTGACTTTTCTTACCTCCCTTGTCTTTTCTTCACCTCGGCCACTTTCATTTTATCTTCTTTCAGTTCTAGTTCTTCTGATTTACCTCTCTGAGGTTGCCTTTTTTGGCCCAACTGATTTTGGCCCAGCTACTCAACTGAAGCTGAGAAGGGTTGTGAAGTTGATAGCGTGGCTGTCCCTACTTTCCCAGAGTTTACAATTAAAGATTACTCTACCCAGTATTTGTGTAGTAGACTGGCAGAATAAAAATATTATGATGTGCAAATGAAAAAGAATAGGAATATGAAATATTTCTATCCTTGTTTATATGGGGAAGAAGCCCAAATGTTAAGATTCTTTCTGGACTTGGCCCTTCCTTTGTTTAGCTGCCAACCATGATAAACGTAATGATAAACCTGATAAACCTTAAACAAAAAGCAAATTGTTTTTCTATATGAAGCCCCCATAACGGATACATATTAAATCTTAGTTTTTCTTCTCTGATTAATTGGTTGTCCCTGACTTCTAACAAACTGAAATTTATACACCCTATGTTAGTCTGCTCAGGCTGCCATAACACAGTGTCATAGACTAGGTGGCCTAAAGAAAGGAAATTTATTTTCTCAAAGTTCTGGAGACTGCAAGTCTGAGATCAGTGTATCAGCATGGTTGGGTTCTGGTGAGAGCATTCTTTTGGACTTACAGACAAACAGTGGCTCTCTCACTGTGTCTTCACATGGCACAGAGAGACAGAACAAGTTCTCTGGTGTCTTATAAGGGCACTAATACCATCATGACCGCCCCCCCCCCATAATCTCATTTAATCCTACTTACCTCCTAAAGGCCTCATCTCTAAATACCACCACTTTGTATGTTAGGGCTTCAACGCATGAATTTTAAGGGGATATACTTAGTTCATACATTCTGTCCCTGCCCCTCCCCCAAATTCATGTCCTTCTCACAGGCAAAACACATTTATTTTCATCCCAATAGCTCCAAAAGTCTTAACTCATTCCAGAATCAACTTCCAAGTCAAAAAGTCCAAATCTTACAAAAATACTGATGCCGAGTTTTTAACATTAGATATTCTTATTTAATTGGTATAAATGGGGACTTGGACATTAGGAATTGTAAAAGCTATCAAAGTGATTTTAACAGGCAAGAAAATTTGAGCATCACTGGGGGATTAAAAAAAAAAAAAAACAAACCTCAAAAAACAAGTCTATTTCTCATTCATGCTACAAGTCCAAACTGAGGCAGAAAGGGAATTTTGCTTATCTTCGTAGTCACTTGAGGCCTACCACCAATGACACCGCCACCTCAACCCCAGTCCTCAGGCTCCACTACAGCAGGGGAAGAAGCATCAAGAAATATACACTGGCTTGTAAATGCTTTTGCTCAGAAGCAACACACCTCATCTCCCCCGCTCCAACATTTCATTAGTTGAAGCAAGTCACTTAGCCATGCCTAATTTTGAGGGGATGGGGAAGTGTGATTCTCCCACACGCCCAGAAGAAGGTAAGAACAAGAAATACTGCGGAGTACAGTATATTCCCATATTTTCAAATCAATGCTTGTTTTTATAATGTCCCCTGGACACATCTTTTGGTACCAAGTCTTCAATCTTTTTTTTTTTTAAGAGACAGGGTCTTGCTACGTTCTTGCTATCTGGCCCACACTGGCGTGCAGTGCGTATTCCCAGGCATAACCGTAGTATACTACAGCCTAGAACTCTTGGGCTCGACACCTCCTGGGCTCAAGCAACCCTCCTGCCTCAGCCTCCAGAGTAGCTGGGACTACAGACAAATGCCACTGCCCCCGGCTCAGGTTTTGAATCTTAAAATGTCTTCTATTTCATTTCATGAACCAATATACAAATATACATATAAATATAACTACAAATAACTTGACATTTCTAAATGATATATATTTCTAATTATATTTCCTTTGTAACCTGCGTTGTATCCAGTAAACACCTGATGAATGATCAATGTAATTTTAAAAAAAGTGTGAAGGTTATTCCTCCTAAATCAGGCTTGATTTTATGTTCTTGGTAACTAAGTATGACCTAGAGAAGTAGGGACCTGATATGGGCTTATTCCATTCTTCCTTCCTTTCAGAACAAAACAATTTTGGTACAGCAAGGCTGTCACAGTCATTCCTGCCATTTTACTGCTTATAAATTCTTGCCAGTTTGCCTTGTCTTTGGGTTTTGATTTACTTACACAGGTGGATAAGCCCAAGAACTGCTTTGAAACATCACTTGAATAAAAATTCAATATTCCTAACTGTCCTTCCCAGCATCTAACTCAAAGAAATACTCACACACTGCAAAAATGACCACCAAACTCATCATCCATGGAACTAATTTCTCAAAACTTCAACAAAACTCAATCCCAGAACACAGATAAGCATCTATACTTTGTTGTTGTTTATGCATGTGTATATGTTTGAGTTTTATAACATAAATGTGCATGAGTATGAAGCTACTTAAATCATCTTCTATACAATGTATCATTATAAAAAAATAGATATATAGGAGATGCAGTGATATGGGATGATCTCCAAAATATTTTGGGGGGAAAGGGTAGAGAACAGTGCATATATGCCATCATTTGTTTTTCAAAAAATGTGTATATATGTATACTTGAATACATATATGCCATTCTACTTTAGAAAGATACACCAAAAAAAAAAAAAACTAGTAATTGTTGCTCTAGAACAGAGGTAGGAGACTGACTTTTCATTGTATGTCTTTTTGTACTGTTTGAATATTTTAAAAAATCCTATGCATGTACTTTCTACTTAAAATTTTTTTAAAAACAGGATTTTATGTGTTACCACGTAAGACATTCTTATAAACTAAGAGGAAAACAATCGAATAGAGAAATGGGTGGAGGAAAAGGAAAAACAATTCACTACAGAAATACAAACAACTGTCAAATGTGGAAAAGTACATAACCCATCCCTAATAAAAAGAAATGTATATAACAATAATCTGTCATTTCCCCTTAATCAATGTGGCAAAAATGTGAAAGCCTTAAAACTTCTGATATTGGTAAGAGCATGGCAAACTTTCACCGGTAGAAGTATAAACCTTGAAAGAGGGCAATTTGGCAGAATACATGAAAATTTAAATGTACAGTTTATGATCCAGCAGTCATACTTACAGAACTCTTTCAGTAACACTAAACAGGGTGTTTAGTGTTCCTGGAAGAATATATTACTTAAGGGTATAGGATCAGTGTATCATAAGTAACCTAGAGTATAGGCTCTGGGATCAGACTGCCTGGGTTCAAATCCCATTTCCTAGCTTTGAGACACCAGCAAGCTTCTAATTTTATGGCCTTAGTTTCCTCATTTATAAAATATAAAAACATCTACCTCACAGAGTCTTGCTGTGAGAATTAAATAATTTAGTATATGCCTTATAAATTAATAAAGAATTTCTTAACTAAGGAACTTGTAACAAAAGCAAAATGATTAAATTTATAATGTCTTTATTTATTTATATGGTAAATACTGTCCCCTACTAAAAAACAATAACATTTATATTTCAATCTGTCACGCTTAGCTAAAACATCATGTATCTCTTTTCTATATCATATATTGACATGATATAGGATGCAGGATGTAAACATCAATTTAATAGACATTATTAAATAACTTCACACTAATGCAGAATCTTGGATGAATGGTTAAAATTATAGATCAGCATTAAATATGGGCACATGAATACCCTGTGTACACAAATGGGTTTAACAGAAGATTATGTTTGCACTGATTTCTGGTCACCAACTTGCTTTCTTTGAATCTTTAAATACCCAATTCCAAATCTTCCAGCTCCTGCAGAAGGGCTGTCTCTTTTTGAATTTTCTCCAACTAGAAAAGTTTAAAACAATGAAATTATTAAATAGGAAATGAAATAATTATTGGATTGGTAACCGAAATAGCACAGGAGGACAAATTTAGAAAAAGAATATTTGACACTTTATCAGATCTACTGGTAAACACAAATTAAAAAATACAGATCAGAAACAAATTCTAATTTGTTATCTGGTATGAATCAAGGGGGCAAAGAACAGATACGGTCTTACTGAATCCCTTTAGGTCCAGTAAGTTTTCTGTTCTGTATCTGGGCTTAAAAGTGCTGAGGAAAAAAGGAGGAGAAAGGCAAACGGGGAGTGTAATCTGAGATATGAGAAGGAAGAGAATCTTACATTTCTCTAAAATAAGAAATGTCCATTATTTTCAACAACAACAGCATACCATGCCTCTTAGGAATAGTGACTCTCTCAATCACTATAATCTACATCATATTTTCCCCCTATTTAAGTTTAAAACTGTTTAAGAGTAAAAACATTAAAAAGAATATGGCATGTGGTTTTCAAATCAAGTTTTAAAATCTTTGTGCTCTTTTCCCTGATTAAATAATTGCTTATAATAAAAGGGGAAGGGTGGTGGTGACTACCAGCCCAAATGAAAAACGCAGAAAATACCTGATTTTTTTCTAGCTGTTTTCCAGTTGCTGCTTGTTCTTTCAGTTGTTCGATTGCTTTCAGTTTCTGTAAATATCAAACAAGTCAAGAGGAAGGAAGAAAAAGTCATTTCAAATGCAAATTTACGTATTAACTCAACATATGAATGTGAAACCTGAATAAGGAGAATCAATCATCTTACATTTGTATGAAGAATGGTCTGTTAAAATGCTAGGGTAAACTGTTTTTTAAAGTTAAATGTAAACCTTATACATTAAAAACACAGGATTTGACAAAATATTTTTCTCAAGCTTTTAATTAATGTTATCATATATATATATACATATGTGTATGGAAATATATCACTAATTTTACAATTCATTTCAATACCCCATTGAACCTGGAAGACGTCTTTTGCTTTGAAAGAACCTCAAAATGCAGCTGGGGCTCTAGAGACCTGGTTTTATCCTCAGAGCCACCATCACAAACTGGTTGCAATTTTATAAGTTAATAAACTTCTTTTTATCTGTTTCTTCATTTAAAAAAAAAAAAAAATTTGTAGGCCAGGCGCAGTGGCTTGCGCCTGTAATCCTAGCACTCTGGGAGGCTGAGGCAGGAGGATCACTTGAGGTTAGAAGTTCGAGACCAGCCTGAGCAAGAGTGAGACCCCACCTCTAAAAGAAAAATTAGCCGAGCATGGTAGCGTGCACCTGTAATCCCAGCTACTTGGGAGGCTGCGGCAGGAGAGTTGCTTTAACCCGGGAGTTTGAGGTTGCTGTGAGCTAGGCTGACGCCACAGCATTCTAGCCCGGGCACTCTAGCCCAGGTGACAGAGCAAGACTCCATCTCAAAAAAAAAAAAAGTTTTTTTTTTGGTAGAGACAGGGGTCTTGCTATGTTGCCCAGGCTGATCTTGAACTCCTGGCCTCAAGTAATCCTCCTGCCTTGGCCTTCCAAAGTGCTGGGACCACAGGCATGAACCTCTATGCCCCACCTGTTTCTTCATCTTTAAAATCGAGATAAATATTTGTTTCTACTTATTTCACAGTTATCTAATGAAATACTGGGTATAAAAATGTTCAGTACATTTCTAGGTGAATGCATATTATTTTTTATTTCTTCAAAAATCAATAATAAAAGTACTACTAGCTTTTAAACATTTGCAACTAGAACTAAAATCAGTACCATTCCTAACTTACAGTAGTTCACAGTGAGAAAGCAACAATGAGAATTGCTACAAACTTCTTACACACCTACCTGTCTGTAGGCATCTAAGTACTGCCATATTTACATAAGTCTCATGTACTCCTTTCAACACACACATCTGTTTTTTATTTAAGTCTCTCACCTTCTTTAGGTTCTTGATTTTTTTGTCTATGTCAGGGTCTCCAGAAGTTGACTGAGTGATAGTGTTTCGTGGTGTGCTCTGTGGGGCAGGAGTAGCTGCCAAATCTGGACTCTTGTCACTTCTTGCTTCCTGTAGGAAACACTTTTTTTAAAATTCAATTTTCATAATTGAAAACATTAAAGTATTTCAATCAATACAGTCCTGGCATATAAAATACAGAAATCAAATATGTGATTTTAATCTACACTTTAGAAAAAGAAAGAATCTGAATTAAAGGCCTCATAAAATATGCTATATATTCTTATAATAGACATGAAATGAAATAACTTTATCTGAGTAAACTGGGAGTTATCAGCCAAAAAGCATTCCAAAGTTTTAGATATTCTGGAATGTGCCATTATACAGATGGTCTGAAAATGTGAAAGGGTTTTTCTATTGAAAGTGTTTAAAGTTTCACTCTTAAAATGCCCTCTCCAAAACTATAAAGAGTATTATGATCAAGTACATGTAATGGATGATGCAGAATAAGAATCCCATAATAGAGATTTATTTATAATCATCATAGATCAATTTAGCTCTGCGGCAAAATGCCATGGAAAACTTTTTTTCCCTTAAAGAGATGCTACATTGCCTCCAATAAGATCAGACCTCTGATAACCTTTCTAGATTCATCCCTCTCATTGAAGGACCACTGATTCTGAACCACTTTTACTTCCCCTAAGGTGTCGTATACTCTTGCCTCCCTAGCCTTTGTGTACAGTAGTTCTTATCCACAGTTTCGCTTTCCTTGGTTTCAGTTACCTGAAGTCAACTGTGGCCTGAAAATATTAAATGGAAAATGCCAGAAACAATTCATAAACTTAAAATAGCATGTCATTTTGAGTTGCATGACAAAATCTCTCACTGTCCCTCCCAGGACAAGAGTCATCATCTTATCCAGCATATCCATCACATATATACTCCCTGCCCATGTTTCATTTAGCAGCCGTCTCGGTTACCAGATCAACTGTCATGGAATCCTAGTGCTTGTGTTCAAGTAACCCTTATTTTACTTAAAAACGGCCCAAAGCACAACAGTAGTGATGCTGGAATTTGGATATGCCAAAGAGAATCCATGAAGATTTTCCTGTTAAGTGAAAAGGTGAAAGTTCTCGACTTAGTAAGAAACAAAAAAACTGCACACTGATTTGCTAAGATCTACAGTAAAAATGAATCTTCTGTCTGTGAAATTGTGAAGAAGGAAAAAAAATCCATGCTAGTTTTGCAGTCACTCCTCAAACTACAAAAGTTATGGCCACAGTCATTCATCTCACTTCATCTCATCATGTCTGCATTGTACCATCTCACATCATTGCAAGAAGGGTGAGTGCAGTACAGTAAGATTTTTTGAGAGTGAGAGTAGAGGTGAAAAGCCTAACGAGCCTAGTGATAGCTGGTTGTCCAGGAGAGAATTTTAGTTCAACCTTAAATTTACCAGAAAAACCACCTCCACAAAACTTTTATTACAGTGTACTGTTATAATTGTTCCATTTTATTACTAGTTGTTATTAATCTCTTACCATGCCTAATTTATATATTAAACTTTATCATAGGTATGTATGTATAGGAAAAAACATAGTATTATCTAGAGTTGGGTACTATCTATGGTTTCAGGCATCCCTTGAGAGTCTTCCAGCCTATCCCCTGCAGATAAGGGGAGACTACTGTATACCATTCCTTGTGCCTAGAACACCTTGCCCTCACCAGTCACCTGGCTGAACTCTACTTATTCTTTAAATCTCCCAGAAAATTTCCCCATCCTAAGACTGGATTAGTGGCACTTTTCTCAGACTCCCACAATACCCAGTATTTAACCCTACTGTAATACCCTATTGTATTATCCCCCATTAGATTTGTGCCCTTGGCATAATACTTACTTTATGGGTTAAGTAAATAAAAAAGCAAAAGAATGACTCTCCCTTTGTAATTATGACAGGACATATGTTTTTACAAGAAAGGAAAAAGTTATTTAAATCTTTATTAGCCCCAAGACAGGGTTTCTACTTCTTCCTTGTAGAGTTCTCAGTGGAATATATAATGCCCCAGATCTCCAAACCCTTTTATTCAGAGTTGTGGGTAGGATACTCTAAACTTCCAAAGCATCCGAGGGGAACAGGGTACCACTCCTAGATCTCCAACTCTAAACGGTCTGCCTAAAAGTTTTTAGAGAGTACAGAATTGGAGTCAGTTTTTCTTTTTAAAGTCATATTGGTTTCACTTTTTTGTACACTCCAATTCAACTAACATTAATTCCTTACTTTCTGTGTAAAAACACATTACTGGGCACTCTGAGTATTCAGAAAGAAAATACTTAGTTTCTACTCTTAAGAAAACTGTAAGTTCTGATAATATGCAGTTAGGTACTTTTCATAACATAAAATTGAAGTGGAAGAGTAGATAAAAAAGATGAGGGGATACTTTGCCTATCAAAATTCATTTTTGATATCAGATAAAAAATATGCAATTTCAGTTGTTTATAATGAGCCAAGAATATAACATTTTATCTAAGAAGAAAGATTAATATTATAACTGTGAAAAACCATTAAAGTTAAGTGAAACATGAAATTTATTTTTCTACCATAAACTAATCAAGAATAGTTTAAAATGTCTGCATTATTATACTTAAATTCTGGTCACTTTCTAGAAAGGATGTGTATATGGTAAGATTAAATTCTTACATTTCAATTCCTTTTTGGCAAAGTCAATAAACTTAAACTTTAACTTATATAGTTAGATTATATACATCTGACTGGTCTATCTTTGGTTATCTAATTCAGGCTGGAGACTGAGAAGGCCTGGTCATGGTGAGATTCTGTCATGGGCCATTTACCTCTGTTCTATCACATAGCTCTTTTACTAAATGCAGCCAGTCACCTCAAAAATGTATATTGAAAGGATTATCTTGCAAGTTGAAAATTTTTTGTCATTACTGGAAAAACACTCAAAAAGCAACTCCATAATGGTGGATTAGTGGTGTCGTCTTTAGTAAACACTATGTGTGGGTGCTTATATGATTGGATTGGAGGGGGACTGATTTTGTAATTATTATGTTTTATATTAACAACATTGATGCTTTTGCTAAAAAAGCCACAAGGCTCTATTTAATCAAATCAACTATTTTAAAATTGATTTGTCTGAATAAGACATACTGATTCTATAACCCAAAATATTTTTACATGTTCAAATACCAGAGAAGCATACAAAATAAACAATTAATATTTTATTACAAAGGGATCTTAGTTCAATACCAGTGATGGTCATATCAAAAATATCTTCTGATAAAGAGGAAGAAAGCTTGCTTATAAAAATAAAATTCTAAGTTGTGTGAGTTTCAGAGGGGCCCTAAATCTCAACTAGAAGGCATAAGAGGCTATAAGGATACTACTAATGTGTTACAGTATCTAGGAACAGCAGAGGTCCCTATCTACACTGACGAAGGGACAAGTTTTGCTTTTATACCAATCCAATGCAGAGTAGATCATTTTACTTGGAATAACCTAAACTTAACCAATTAAGATATTTCTGGAGATGATTTTTTAAAAAATTTTGAGATGGGGTCTCACTATGTTACCCAGGCTGGTCTTAAACTCCTGGGCTTATAAGCAATCCTCCCACCTCAGCCTCCCAAGTAGCTAGGATTATAGGCATTTACATATCACCCACTGTGCCTAGTTGGAGACAAAATTTATTAGCTACAAATGAACACAATGACTTTTTTTTTAAAGCCCATATTTTAGCAGAATATGGTTATATAATGCAATCCTACACCTTAAAATAGCAAGTGCCTACCAAAACACATAAGCAATCTAGATCTGTCAAAATTCAAGAATTACCAGCAAGATTGTATTGGTGATACAGTAATTAGCAGTTAAAAATCTACTTCGCTGCTATGGTCTGAATATTGGCATCCCCCTCAAAATTCATATATGGGGAACTAATACCCTATTACATTGGGTATTGATGACACCACTGCACTCTAGCCCTGAGCAACAGAGTAAGACTCTGTCTTTTTTTTTGAGACAGAGTCTCACTCTGTTGCCCTGGCTAGATGAGTGCCGTGGCATCAGCCTAGCTCACAGCAATCTCAAACTCCTGGGCTCAAGCGATCCTACTGCCTCAGCCTCCCCAGTAGCCGGGACTACAGGCATGTGCCACCATGCCCGGCTAATTTTTTCTATATATTTTTAGTTGTCCGATTAATTTCTTTCTATTTTTAGTAGAGACGGGGTCTCGCTCTTGCTCAGGCTGGTCTCGAACTCCTGAGCTCAAACAATCCGCCCGCCTGGGCCTCCCAGAGTGCTAGGATTACAGGCGTGAGCCACCGCGCCCAGCGTGAGATTCTGTCTTAAAAAAAAAAATTTCATTGTTTGGGTACTTCTGGTATTTAGATCCCCAGCTGAATAATATGGACATTTCATATAGTAATATAATACTGAGTGTTGAAATGGCTTTATAGTCATATAATTTCCAGCTTCTACTAATAAATGCATACTCTAAAGAAAGCAAACTATACTATTTTACACAGGTTCAACCATAAGGGTCTACAGCTAGTAACCTACTACATAATCCCATTAATAGTGGGATCTCATTAGGGTCTCAGGTCTTAAAGTCAGGTCCATTTCCTTTATCACCCATTATACAGACAGGATTACTTAGAAATTCAGAGTCAAACAGAAAAGAAAGATATTCTGCCTATTTAACTCTAACTCCAACTACATTTTATAATATAACAGTCAGTTCTTTAAAATTTAAGGCTCACAGCTAATTTAACTGATTTTTTGTTTTGTTTTGAAGAGATCAGTGCCCCAAATACCTGCTTTGCAGCTTTCTTAGCTTCATGCTTCCTTTGATTTTTAAGGGCTGTTTTTGATAATGGCTTATCATTTCCTGGTTGTGGCTTCATATTCTGAGGTGGTTCCTCTTCATGCTATGGAAATGTAAAATAAACAATTCTGAAATGGAGTCCCTGTTTTAAAAGACATACACAACAAAATTATATACTTTTGCTAGTACAGAATAAACTTATTTTATCAAATTTATTTTAAGATTGCCGGTAAAGATTATTTCAATATTCATTAGTAGTGGCACACTCCAACTGCCACGATAGATTTAATGGTCTTCCTTAGCAGTTTATAGGTATTTTTCAATTGCATAAGAGCTGGCAAAATTCTCTTTAGTTTTGTTCAAACAATATCACTTTTCTTATGATTACTGTAGAAACATGATTCTTATGAAACTAGACACCAATAATAACTTCTTCTGAAGGCTTTTTGGTTCTGACTACTGTCAACAGAAGCCTAGGTGCCTCGCTTCTTTTTTTCACACAAACGATTACTTGCTAGATCTTTATTTGTAAAACCAGAGGTTGCAAGATTAAAAATAAAAGCAAATGAAAAAACAATAAGAAAATAAATCAAATAGAAAGGGGTAACTGCATAATGATAAAGCTGAGATTAACATACTGAAGAGGCCAACAAAAAATTAAATGGTTTGTCAGACTATACAATGAAGATAATCATATCCATCATCAAATATTAAGTTATTAAGTATGAAATGTCTGATCTTCTTAGGTACTAAGTTTGATAACTGATATCTCTGACATTTCACTTTGATACTTGTTTTATTTTTATTATGAAGATACATTCTCACTCTTTCAAATGCATGTTTTGCCTTGTGATTATCTTTCAAATTTTTTTTAGAGCGCTGTTTGTGAAACCATGGATAAGTCAAAAATGCGTGTTATTTTTGAATATAAGTTCTATCGTGGAACCAATGTAGTGCAGGCAGCTCATAATATCAACAAAATGTTTGGGAAGGATGTGGCTAATGAATGCACAGTATGTTGATGGTTTGAGAAGCTTCGTTCTGGTGATGTTAATCTTGAAAATCAGTCACGTGGGCAACCTGACATCAAGGTGGATAATGATGAGCTGAAAGCTGTAGTGGGAGCAAATCCATCTCAATCTATGTGTGAATTAGCAAGGTCTGATGTTACTATTCTGACAATATTGAACCATTTGAAACAAACTGGCAAGGTAAAGAAGCTGGATAGATGGGTTTTGCACGGTTTAAATGAGTCTAAGAGAAATCATCTCAAAGCTTGCCTGTCTTTGCTGTCACAATAGAAAGGTGAACCATGTCTACACCATATTGTTACATGTGATGAAAAATGTATGCTTTTTGACAATTGCAAGCATTTGGCACAATGGCTGGATAAAGATGAAGTGCCAAAACACAGTCCAAAACCAAAGAGTCATCAAAAAAAAGCTAACAGTGTCTGTTTGGTGGTCCAGCGCCGGTATTATCCACTACAGCTACATGAAACCTGGTCAGTCGATGACAGCAGAAGTCTACTGCAACCAACTGAATGAAATGATGAGGATGCTTGCAATTAAGCAGCCAAGACTGGTCAACAGAGACAGGCCCATCGTCTTGCAAGACAACGCTGGACTGACCACATGTTGCACAAACATTGTTCAAACCATAGCAGCTGGACTTGGAAACTCTCTGTCATCAACCATATTCACCAGACCTTGCACTGACTACCACTTCTTCCAGGCTTTGGACCTCTTTTTGCAAGGAATAATATTCAATTTTCATCAAGCTGTGGAAAACACCTTTCTCGATTTCATTGCCACTCACTCTCCAGGCTTCTTTGCTGCTGGCATAAGCTGCTGGCATAAACAAGCTATTGTTAAGATGGCAAAACTGTCACAATAGTTCAGGCGTATACTTTGATTAATTGTACTTCTCTTGTTTGAGATATAATAACTACACTCTTGATATGAAATTGAACATTTCATGTTTAATGACCCATTTCAAATTTACATAACCATATAACTATATTCCAAGACAGAAAAAGGGCAAATTAAGTATAGGTGCAAGGTACCTCTGAGTAGCTTCAAGCAACACATACAGTATTAAGTGATGGCACTACAACTCCCTATCAGATTTATCCACTTATTGATAATCTATATTGCTATTATTTTAATATAGCAAGTATCTTAGACTCTGTCATACTTAGCACATCAAAAGTACCAGTTCACCATAAAGTTTCTTGAGTACTAGGTCTCAAATATGTATTATACTTGTAAGTTATATAAGGACATGAGCAGGGCTCAAACATTTAAGATACAAAGAAATAACTCACATTTGTAGAACAGACAAATTTAGAGCACAAGCCTCTTTCATTTCTTTTTAACCCACATTGCATAAAATGTTTAGTTAAGATACACAGTATTTGCTGAACATTGTTTTATACATAACATTAAAATTTGTTGGATAGTCAGCTCTTCTATAGTACCTTGCTTTGGCTGAAAATATTTCTGCTCATGAGAATTTTGATTAAAAATGATGAAAGAAGAAAGTTACAAGTCTCTCCCACACTTATGAGCATCATGTAGCCACTAAGAGCCTTTCATTTTAGATAAAAAAATTCACACAACTATTACAATTCATGTGGAACCTATCTATCCAGCTTCTTTACCTTGTCAATTTGTTTCAAATGGTCCACTATTGTTGGAATAGTAATGTTAAATCTTGCTGCTAAATCACACATAGGTTGAGATGGATTCACTTCCACTACAGCTTTCAGCTCATCATTACCCACCTTGGTGTCAGGTTGCCCAGGTGGCTCATTTTCAAGAGCATTACCAGGACGGAACTTTTCAAACCACTGACATACCGTGTGTTCATTAGCCACATCCTTCCTAAACACACTTCGTTGATATTTTGAGCTGTCTGCACTGCACTGGTTCCATGACGAAACTTATATTTGAAAATAACATGCATTTTTGACTTATCTATTTCACAAAAATTGCTCTAAAATTTTTTTTGAAAGATAATCACAAGCCAAAACATGCATTTGAAAGAGCGAGGATGTACCTTCACAATAAAAATAAAACAAGAAGTATCAAAGAGAAATGTCAGAACTACCAACTGTCAAATTTAGTATTTAAGGAAATCATTTCACTTAATAACCTAAATATATTTTTGTATAATTTTACTTAACTAACTTAATATAACAACAGTGTTTAAACAGAAACATCTCGATAGAAGTTAAGAAGTTACAGATAGCTGCTATATTTTGTTTAGTGCAAAAGGAAGGGTTATTCTTTTATTTTTGTCTTTGTAGGGGCGAGAAATGGCACAAGAGAGGCATAGGAATATTTATTCTTTGAAAAAGTATCTAATTCCTTGAGTGCCTAAAAATGAGGCATCTATAGATCCCTCTTTACTTGGTACAGTTCCAGTTTATAGCTGTTGTATGTTCACTTTTCTGGTAACACCAATAATATTGTTCATTCTTAGAGCACCTTTATTCCTTAACACCATTACAGAAACTCAGGGAATTAATAAATGCTCTCCTCTGAGATCTCAAATGTAACATTTTTAAAGCAACCTGACCAATACCCTGGTCATAACTTTACAATAGAGGTGGGAAACTAATGGCCTGAGGACAAGAAATGTGTTTTGGTTGACCAATAGTGTTTTAAAAATTGAGAAATATCCCATAAGCATCCAGACTCATTTTGTCTTGAAAATCAAACTTTTGAAAAACTGGACTTAAAATCTCCTATGGAAAGAGTCAGCTATTGCTACGTAGCTGCTATGGCTTTCAAATAGGGCATAAGCTCTTTCATTCACCACTCACTATTTGCTTTATATGACTGGCCTAGCCTGACAAGTATTTGAATTTGAGCCCCTGATCTACAAAGCCAATATGTTATACTCAGTTATCTTTCCCAGAAAATTTAAACGTGAATTGTTTTATGTTAACTACTTTGTCAACTTAACAATATGAGCTGTTAACCATCTTCAGGAGTACATCTTCAATGATTTCTTCCCAGAATTTATATTCTAATCAGGTAGTAAGTAACACAAGAGCATGAGAAAATTCTGGAGAACTCCACAAAATGAAAAACCTTCCCTACCAAATTAGTACAACTTTACTTACCAGTTTGGAATTGGTGATTGGTTTATTTCTTAAAGCTGGGGGTCTATAAGCTGTTGCAACTTTAGGTACCTCAGTGGGTACTTCACTTGGAACTGCTTGGTAAGTTATTGTTTTTGCTGGAAATATTCCATCCAAAAATGGTTGCCAAGAAACCTGCCATAATTCTCCATTTGATGGCACATCATATTTGTGCAAGACAGAACCAGTATAATGCCAAATCTTGTACCCATTATTAACACGTAACCTGGGAGCACACGTGGCTGTTAAAATATGCTCACCATCTGGGCACCAAGCAAAATATGTAGAATCAGAAGCCACTGGTTTAGAAATAAGTTTGTAGTTTTTAACATCCCACACTTCCATTTGTCCTCTCAGATTTCCAAATCCAGCTAATACTAATATATGTCCATGAGGGTTATAGTAGGCTGCATTACGAGGACCAGTTCCAAAGTCAAATACAGGATCACATTTCAAGTTGAAAATTGTTGCTTTGGCAGGCATAAAACCATAAACAGCACAAAACTCTGTAGAACTAGAATTCCAAACTACATCATAAATTGGGCCATTTTTTGCTAGAAAAAAAAAATAAAGCCCCAATTAGCAATAAAGAATTATATGAATATAACATTAGCACAGTTATATAGCACTCATAAACATATCAAACAGTAAACAACAAACCTCTACAAACTGCAAGGAATGTTAAAATTAAAATATTCTTACATGATATACCATGGAGATTAATGTATAATCATGAATTTATCTAAAAATCTCAACTGAATCTTAATGTCTTTTAAACACTTTGGACTCAGAGATGCCCATATGGGCTGTCAGCAATAGTTTATTACTATTAATAAATAAATTTTTTGGAAGTGGTTAATATATGTACATGGAAATAAAAATAAAAACTATATAAAAAGACATGCCAAAAAATAGGTCCCTCAGAGCTGAGTGAGGTGGCTCATGCCTGTAATCCTGGTACAAGGTGGAAGATCACTCGAGATCAGCCTGGGCAACAGAATGAGACACCACCTCTACAAAAAATTAAAAAATTATCCAGGTATAGTGGTAAGTGTCTGTAGTCCCAGCTACCTGAGAGGCTGAGGCAGAAGGATCACTTGAGCCCAGGTGTTCAAGGCTGCAGTGAGCTGTGATCATGCCACTGTACTCCAGCCTGGGCAATAGAGTGAGACCCTTGTCTCAAAAAAAAAAAAAAAAAAAAAAGTTCCCTGTATGCAAGGCAACCCTCTGCTATACTTCTTGCATATCCTTTCAGAAAATTTTTGTTGAAACAAAACATTTTTCTCTTAAGGACACAAACAAATGACAAGGTTCTAGACTTCTGTTATTTCATTTAATACTCTATGTTGGAAATTTTTCCACAGAAGAATCTTAAGATCTGTCTCACTTTTTCAGTTGCACTGTATTCTATTACAAACTTTGCTGCATATTCTCCTCTGCCAGTGTACACAAATATATCTGTAGGAGTGAAACTGCAAAGTCACAGGGTATATGCATTTACTTGACAATATACCCTCAAAATGCCCTTTAAAGAGGTTGTACCAATTTATACTCCTATTAACAGTTTTTTTTTTTGAGACAGAGTGCCACTCTGTTGCCCCGGCTAGACTGCGGTGGTGTCAGCTCACAGCAACCTCAAACTCCTGGGCTGAAGCGATCCTACTGCCTCAGTCTCCCAAGTAGCTGGGACTACAGGCATGCACCACCATGCCCGGCTAATTTTTTCTATATATTTTTAGTTGTCCAGCTAATTTCTTTCTATTTTTTTAGTAGAGACAGGGTCTCGCTCTTGCTCAGGCTGGTCTCGAACTCCTGAGCTCAAACAATCCGCCCGCCTAGGCCTCCCAGAGTGCTAGGATTACAAGCGTGAGCCACCGAGCCCAGCCCTATCAACAGTTTTTGATGGTAGAGGTTTCCCCCTCGCTCTCACCCATACTGTGTAGTTTCATAATTTAATCTTTGCCAACCTATTAAGTGAAAACTTCTATCTTGTTTTCCTTTTTTTCTTCTGTACTAAAATAAGTCCATCTTTTTTTCATTTCTATTTAATTATTAGCTAAGCTTTAATATGAGTAATTTATACTCATACTTTAATATGAGTAATTTCATTTTTCTGTACACTGATTTTTACTGCCCCATGCCCATTTGTCTCCAGTTATTGGTCAATTACTCGGTTTACTTGCTATTTTAAGAAAATTTACCTTTTCTCATACTCATCCCTTTTCTGCTTAAAAAAAAATTTCCCCCAATTTTTCATTTGCTTTGCTTAATTTATAGCCTCTTTTCTTCTCCCAATGTAGAAATCTGTCCTTTTGATATGTTCAAATTTATAATTTTTTCCCCTTATGACTTCTGTCTTATTTAGAAAGTCTTTTTCTACTCCAACATTAGAAAACAAATTCTCCCATGTTTTCTTCTAGTTCCTTTGTAGTCTTATGGATAATTTTTTGGCTCAACCAGAATTTATTTTGGTGTAGAGGTAGCGATAATAACTTTTTGTTTCAAATGGCTAGCCAGTTATCCCCAAACCATATATTAAATGACCAATATTTTCTCCATTGATTCGAATACTGACTTTATTATATATTAATGCCTACAAAAGTATGAATCTGTTTCTAGACTCTGTTCTGTTCCACTGATTTACCAGTCTATTAATTTGCCAGAACCAAATTGTCTTAATTATGACTGCCTTACATTTTAACATCTGGCAGTATAGGAATTACAAAACTCCCCCTGTCCTACTCTTCTTTTGAAAAATTTTCAAAACATTCTTTCATACTCCTTATCTAATACCAACTTTAGAACCAATTTATCTATTAAAAAAAAATTGGCATTTAAGTGTAATTTTTAGATTAATTTGGAAAGAAATGACATCTTCATAAAATTCTTATTATTAAAGGTTATAGTTTGTTCCTCTGAAGAATTTTTAAGTTTTCTTCCCATTGGCCCTACATATTTCTTTTTCTGGAACAGCATCTTGCTCTGTCGCCCCTGCTGCAACCTTAAACTCCTGGGCTCAAGCGATCCTATTGCCTTAGCCTCCCAAGTAGCTAGGACTACAGGTGTGTGCCACCACATCTGGCTCGTTTTTTCTATTTTTGGTAGAGGCAGGGTCTTGCTCTTGCTCAGGCTGGTCTCAAACTCCTAAGCTCAAGTGATCCCCCTGCCTCAGCCTCCCAGAGTGCTAGGATTACAGGTATGAGCCAACGCGCCCAGCCCAGCCCTACATATTTCTTATTTTTGTTGCTGTATTTGGAATCTTTCCTTTCATTATTTTTTAAGTGGCTATTGTTTATAATGGACTTCATCTATATGAGCAGAGATGATTCAGTTTCCTTCTTTCAAAGTTGCACATTTTACTTCTTTTGATCAGTTATACTGGCTAGATATTTTAGAATGTTATTAAACTAATAATGAAAAGGGGAGCCATCCTTATTTTGTTTCTGACTTCAATGGGAATAGAGTTTTTTGTAGGGAAGGTTATCCTACTTATGAATGTTCAATTCAAAATGAGAAAATTAGGAAGCTGCCATTATTTTATAACTATTTGAAAGTTTTAGCTTGTCAAAACAACAAATGAAGTGGTAATATTCTTGGGTATTATTAATAATTCTAAAGATAGTACTAAACATACTAGATAACTTGGTGTCATAATTAGTTAAATAAATCCTAAAAGAGCTGCCACAATGGAATTACCTCACTCAGGAATTTCCCTACTAAAGTGCTGGTATAACTCAATTAACTAATTGGATCCTGTCAAAATAAGGTACGTATGAAGATGATTTTAAGTTTCTTAATTAAGAGGAATTTTATCTTAAAGGTTATTAAAGTATTTGAGTTCTACTACTTGATTAAGAATTTAGATTACATCATCTTTATGGCATAGTATTTTTCACTATCATTGTTTTTACCAAAAGCAGGACTGCTGGAATACTCACGTAATTGCACTACAGCACTTTCTCCATTCGTTGCAATGTAGTGCAGTGTTTGTTCCCCGTAGTAGGAAGCTCCTGTCTTGTCAACCTCTGTACTGGCTATTACCAACACAGCAGTAGCTGTAACAGTAAAAAATTTTAATTATATTCAAAACACAAATTACATAAGCATCAATACTCTTTTTTTATACACATAGGAATACAGTCTAAATTAACGCTTGATAAACAAAATTAGGGATAAACTATATATATCATACCTTTTTTATTCCACAGCATTGTAACTTTATCAGCCTTAAAGAAACTTTTATTGGCTAAAGCTGCATGAGGTCCACCAAAGTTGGGGTATTGATATAATCTTACAAATGAAGGTGCACCTTTACTTCCTGGAACATAGACGGCCACCTAGGATACACAGACATAAATCATTACTTAATTTCTGGAAGCATATAAAGTGAGGCGGACATGTTTTTACAGTCACAAAAACTAGGAAAAGTTTTAAAAATATTGCATCTAAACAAATAAAAGGATAGCAATTACCTTGCATGGTTGGGGTCCAGGTGATAATACAAAATCATTAATTTTTTGCAAATGTAACTTATTTGTAATTGTGTCTAAAAAGAAAGCAAATAATGTTAGATTGGTGACAGAAGCTAATAGGAACATGTTAAACTCTGAATGCAATATAAAAGGTTACTATAACTACACACAGATACTGCTCATTATAATCTGATATAGATGAGGCAGAGCAACACAGTGGAAAATGCATGGAGTAGGACCAAAACAGATTTAGGCTTCAATTCCTACTCAGTCATTTCGTATTAATAGCTATGTGAGCTTGGGCAAGTAAGGGGATTGATTTTAAGAGCACATTGCTTGGGCAACTCCTAGGGATTGATTTTAAGAGCACAGTGCCAGGCACATGGTAGGTTTCAATAAATGTCAGTTCTCTTCTTTTCAACCTCTGAAATAAAGTAGTCTTAGAGCCCATTAGATGGGAGAGCAAACTTACTACTATAGAATGTGGATATGGAAATTCTGTAACTAATGTGATAAATAGATACATGATAATGATCATCACAACAATAATAACAATGGCTGCTATTTATCAAGTGCTTACTCTATGCTAGGCAGTCAGAACTCATACTATTAATAATACTGCCACCCTAGTTAATGGGATCAAGAGCTAATACTCATTCTTTGTTCAGTTTCAGAAATGAATGATTGCTCAAAAGTAGCATGCCAAAGGCCAAAGTGGTGAATCTCCTACATTTGGCATACTCACAAAGAGGCAAGTAAAACAAGAAAGCAAGATAACCCAAAAACAACAGGGGTAGGAGTAAGTGTCAAATGCAGAAAAATGAAGTGCATGGCTATGCTGATTGGATGCTGCACAAAATCAGCCTGCATGCCATCTTTGGTACATGTGAACAGACATACCAATTCCTATTCTAACCATGGGATACAAAAGCAAAATTCGAACCATGAGAAAATATGTAAGACAAATAACCTTGTTTCTTAAATAAAGAATTACCAGGGGGGAAAAAAAGAGATAGAGTTGGAAACTAGACTAAAAAAAACTTAAAAGATGTATCAATCAACTACAATGTGAGATACCTTATTTGGATCCTAAGTTTTAAAAAAATTGTAACATTTGCAATTATTAGAAATTTGAACACTGACTAAATATTTAATGATCTGTGATAATGGTATTGTGGCAGTTTAAAAAGTTAAGGACCCTAATCTTCAGATATACATATACATATATATATTCTGAAGTATTTAAACTTCTATATAAAATTATATGATGTCTGGGATTTGCTTTAGCTTAGTAAGAGAAATGTAACGGGATAGATGTCTGGATGAAATAGGATTGGTCACAGGCTGACGATCATTGGGATGGTCAAAAGTAGATACATTGTATTTAAAATTCTACACAATAAAACATTTAAAAATTTTTGTGTCACAGAATTTCAATAGCAATTAAACTCAGGAAGAAGTATTCAAATGTATTAATTTAACAGCAATTATCAGATAATAAAAAGTTATTGTAAAAGAAAACCTTTGTGTTACAGATTTTTACTGGATTTAGACAGAGTTATGCATATGAAAATAACAGTAATCACTGATTAATAAATTAACAGCATTTAGAAGAACCCTATATGCCATAAAAGTTAATGAAAACTATATACAATTACAGCAAATAGTAAATTATTTCGTAAATCTTTCCATACTAAAATTGTTGTTTTCAAAGAAGTGAACTTCATTGTTAACATTTCGAGCACAAAGATTTTCATCTTCTGACCAGGATGGACACCTATGTCAGAAACAAAGAGTACAAAAAAAAAATTTAGAAAGAATGTAACATCATGTTAACATGTTAAAGTTTGTGATATTGCTTACTATTTAAGGAAAAGTAATTATAAATATGATATCAAGTCAGTTACTAATAGTTTTAGTCAGCATATGTAATAAAAAAATATTGTTCCTTTCCATTTAAATACTAAACAAAAGAAAGATCAGGTTTTTACTCTATTATATTCCTACATAAAAAATCCTTAAAGATCTAGATTTTGGTCTGGTAAGTTATTTTAAAAATCAATACCAGAAAAACACATAGTATACAGTGATGATATTTGAAATAGTGTGTAAAAAATTAGTAAAGCATGTACCTACCAATTTTGCATTTTTTTCTGGATGAAAGATTTCAAACATGTCCCAGTTTTCACATCATAAAGTTGTAGGTTGGGTGTCCCAGCTGTGCCATCTTTAGAAGCTGCAATAAAAACAATAATTTCATTCTTACAAAAAATTTGAATGAGATTATAAAAATCAAGTAAAAGAGTTGCTTTAAATCAACTTTTCTCTCTAGCCTTAATTAGAGTTAATCATCCATTCCAAAAGCCATGATGACAACTGTTTAAGTAAAAACCCAGCATCTCTGAAATGAGTTAATTACTACAGATTTTAAGAATACTTAGGAGATTTCTTATTTATTAAGTTTGACATAAATTACTGTCAAATGGATTAAATAATACAAAGTTACACAAAACCACTCATGATTCTCAACTTCCCTTTTATTTACTTGGAGAAATAAGATTCATTAGAGTACATGCCTGTTGAAAGAACAAAACCTAGGAGATTTATAACCCAACAATGACCTATTATCACTTACTTATTCAATAATATCATTATTAGAAAATGTCTCTTAAAATAAGCCCCTATACCAGTTTCCAATATTTTATTACTCGATGAAGCACAGCTATATAAAATGTTCATAGAATGTATTATTATTTACAGAATGACATACTGTTTCCTACTCTTTGTCACCCCTTAGACGTTATGTCTACTGTACTTCTTGTCACTTACAATGAGTATTTGTTTTGATTTTAAAAGTCATTATTATTCTTAATCTTAGAGATCTCCTCTACCCAGCAGTTAATTTGTAAATTTTCCCTTGAGCTTTTTCTCTTCCTCTATCTCATAATGGATCTTTTCACTAACTTACTATATATCTTTAAATTATTTTCAGTGCATTGTATTTGGAAAGTATAAAACTCATTCTTGATTATACATATTCACAAACATTATTTACTATCATAAAGAATAATTACTTTCTTATAAGATTATAAACTTTCTTTTTTCCCCACTAAATTTAATTAGTCCTGTCAGAATATTTTTACAATGGGAAAATACTTACTAGTATAAGGTTGCCACGTTGCCAGGACAGTGTTTTTTGGTGAGAATTCAAGGCAAACTGTCTTTGGGAGGTCGAAGGAGTGCAGTAGTCCCTTGTTAGTGACATTGATAATATTTACTCTGGTTTCAAAAGAAATTACTTCAGCAATGAAATATTGTTTTATAATAGCCAGCACTAACCAAAACATTCATACCTCTTTTCAAATACAGATCACTTTAAGTGCTCATTTTTCATGAAAATCAATTTTCAGTTCCAGAAAACACCTTAACTAAAAAAAATTATACATTTTACCAAAAGGTCCCTATATAAGATTAGTATTGGAAAACAAAATAGAATTAGCAGAAACACACATGGATGATTCCACTTTCAGCTAAAAAGGATATGACAAGGCCTTTGAGTGAACACAAAGCTAACCTACAGAGAAGCTGAGGTATATCAAACGAAAGGGAAGGCAGAGGTGCTAGAAAGAATAGCAAGAGTATATTTTTAAATTTGAATAAACAGAAGCTGTATCAGCTAGGGAAATCATTAAGGAAGCTTTTGATGTCTATTAAAATCTCAAAAGCAACCTCCAAAAGATAGGACTATAAGACCTACTGTAGTACAATAACGACAAAAATGACTATAATAAAAGCAGTTTCATTTTTTGGATATTTTCTATGTACCAAGCAGTGACCTACCTACTTTATGCACATTTTCTCATTTAATCCTCACAACGGCCATAAAAGTGTCATCATCTCTGTTGAATGGTTTAGAAAAATCAAATGATTTGATGATTTGCCCAAGATGATAATATTGATAAATGCCAGAGCCAAGCTTTGAAATCATTTAGGCCTGACTTGCTTTTACGTACTACACTAAACTCTTTGGGGTAACAACAACAACAACAACAAACAATTAACTCCATCTTATTCCAGAAATTGCTGAAAGTAACTTTGTTCTACTTAGGTTTGAGGAAGATAACAAGGTTAGGATAAACAGTAACTAGGAATGAAAGATTTTTGCATATTGTTTAAGCACACTCATATATGACTTTTCACAACTTACTAAAAAATAACATTTTAGAATTATAAGCAGCTTTCTTGTTTTTTGTTATTGTCATTGATAACCTTTAATTCTTAGTTTAATGAAGGATGTTTATTTTAATTAAAAAATACATATTTAAGGAAGAATCAGTTAAAGTTTCTGACTTAACCAGAAACTGAACAAAGACCACAATCAATACACGGTATCTGATTCTCTTACCCTAGAACAACAATATGTACCATTGTGGCCACAGCACTTTAAGGAAATAAATGCTAGAAACTGGTGTAGAATATACCTATTAAAATAATGGACATAACATATGGGGACACGTTAAAAAAGATTTAGAGTTGAACCCAACAGAAGGCTAAGTGAAAATATGAAGTATTAACAATAATTGCCAAGGTAAAAATAGGCTTATTCAACAAACTCTAAGCTAGAAGAATAAGGGATACCTCAAAAAAGTAACAATGAAAAGAAGTATGGTATATCCTATTAGATAGAAAATTTCTATTGACTCATTACTCAAATAGTATAAACTAAAATATGGATTTAAAAAATAAAACTTAAATACCCACGACAGGTTATGCCAAAAGAAATAAGACAATTTGAAATACATCCTATCTTTAAGGCTGAGATTACAACTGTTAACACTGTGGATAAGACCCCTGGATTCAATAATTAAAAAAAAAATTAAAAATGAATAATTTTTTAAATTATAAAAGCTAATTCTGCCAGCTACTTATAGTCATAAAAGGTGAACCACCTAATTTAACAAAGATTCTCTTTAGCAGATAGGTTTTAAAAATCCTGTGTTTAATCCAATCTTATTTAATAGTTAAAGTACCACTGTCAAGAACATTTAAAATGCACTTTTCATAAGGTAGGATGACAGAACTTTAGAAAAAGATCAAAGGAAAAAAAAGAAAAACAAAAAGAAAAGAAAATGCACTTTTCAAACGAATTCATACTTTTCTCTCTTTAAAAAAACCCAGCAGTATTATATGTGGTTAAAAACAATGTAATTTTAAACCAAGCAACAGATATTTGGGTATTTTCTTGGTCTGTGAAATAAAATGCTGTAGTAAGTCTTAGAAAATTAAAAAGACTGGATTTTTTTAGTACAATATGAGCATTTAACCAAAATTATTATTCTTTGCAAGACTAATTTTATAATCTGATAATTTTTTAGAATGTTATACTAAATTCTTTCATATAAACAAGACTAACAGTAATAACTACAGACAGTTGTTACTAATTTAACAGCAAAGATAAAAAGTAGGAACTCTAAAATAAACAAGCAAAGAGAATTATTTTCTCAGCGTTAGTACATAACTTAAGAAATCCTACCCAATAACTTTGAGCACTATTTAAAACAACTTAGCTTCTTCAGTATTAAATCAGTGTTTTTCATATGTTAATTTTTAATTCTAAGTAACTAGATAACTCAAATCATGGCATATACACAGATATGCCACAAACAACTTTGAAGGTGTTCTTTGTAACATTGGAGATACCACATCATGACAATAAAAGATGGACTTTATTAATGACATTCAAATACGTGTTATTCAAATAATGCCAGTTATGTTTATATTCATGACACACATAAAATATAATGTTATATAAATGAACACTAACTTTTCTCCATTGCCCCAGGCAAACAAGGTCCCATCCTTACTAAAGGTATAGACTTTGCAATTTTTCCCAGATTCCCTGAAAATGGAAAAAAAGAAAAGTTTAAATGAGTAAGTATTAATACTTTCCAAAAAATCTGATTATAAACTCTATGATCTCTTAATAACTAAGAACTTACACAAATTTTAGAAAATAATTACAAAATGCTTTAGTCTGCCAAAACACTTTATCTCTTAAAAAGCAATGCTAACAGTCATGTAAAGTAAGCTGAAAACTGATTTTATACCAACAGATGAATCTTAAGAAATAGAACCCTTTTGAGTGAATTTTAAGTTTGTGTAGAAACCCCCAAATGTAACTGAATGTAAAAGTTACCAGCTATCAGCCCTAATCTTGAGAATGCTGCAGGATTTCAAAACAGGGACTTTGTGGAGAATGCCTCAGACAACCTGCATAACAAAACAATGGTAGATAGAATATCCTCATGTGGCCAATGAATGTCCCTGGATTTGAAGGACAAAGGTAGACCTCCCATCAATTTCTCATGTATAGAGATAGAAAGCACAACAACAAGAGATCTTCCTATTACATAAATGCTGATGCAGAATGCTGTACAAAAGCAGATCTGTGGAAATCAGACTGCTTGGCAATATTCTAACAAGTAATTAAAATCATAAGTACTGCATCTCTCAACTGGAGATGGCCACTATGAATATATCTCTCAGTGATAATGAAAACACAAATAGAAATGTATATCTGTGTACATGTGGATGTCCATTAATATAATCACAATATTAGATGAGAACTTCACGGCTGATACATAATTCAAAATACTAAATAATAACAAATGCACTGAGAACTGACCAATACTTCCCTATTAAGCTGGACATTATCTTTACGTTAATTCATCTGAAATATTTGCACTTCTATAATCACACAATGGTAGCTTATAATCAGTTTATAGTTAATGAAACTATTTTTTTTTACCTCTTTCTCACATAAATAGCTATGACCAAGATGTTCCCCATCCTATCCTTATGCAACTCATTTCTGAACCTTAAGGCAGAATTTTATAATTATCCTTATTAAATTCCACCCAGGTTTTGGCCTATCATTCCAGCCTACTGAGATCACTTAAATCTTGATTTTCTCTTTTTAAAACATTAGTCATTCCTTACAGATTTATGTAATATGTAGATTATAAAACATCGTTTCTAAACTATGATCTAAATTATTTATAAGAATATTGAATGAGCTCTGAACAAGATCCGGTGGCTCACCAACGGTCCTTCCTTCAAACTAAAACTAACTCATTAATCAGCTGACTTCACTGTCCTTAACCAATGACAATTGTGTCATCATTGTCCAACCTAAAGACTTGATTTCTCAGATATTTTCCTAAGATCATGTTTACAGTTCTATTTTTCTGATGTGTCTGGAAATTCTACTCAGAAAGGAAATAAGCTTGAAACAATTTGTTCTTAGCAAGCTCATTCTGACACCAATAATCAACCCCCTTATCTCAATGATCACTGTCTTTTCAGTGTATCACTCTAGAACTGTGTTTAGGATTGAAAGCAAGCTTGACTATAGAATCCAGAATTCAATTATTTTCTTTCCCATCTTGGAAATTGAGAAATTTTGTCTGTTTCATTTTGATACAATTTTTTTAAATGAAAAATTTCAAATATACACAAAAATAGAGAAAAAGTATGATAATCCACCCATGTGCCCGTCATCAAGCTTAAACGACTATTAACTCAAAGCCAATTTTACCTATTCTCTGTTATTTTTAATGCCATAATATTTTAAAGCAAAACCCAGATGTCATTATCATTTATTCTATAATTTAGTATGCATCTCTAACTGATGAGAATTTTTAAAAAAAACATAATCACCACCATGCCACTTCATCTCATGAAATGAACTCCTTACTATCATCTAATAGCCAGTATCTGGATTGAATATCCAGGTTTAAAAGCTCCTCAGGTCATTCTAGCATGCAGCCAAATTTGAGAACCACTCATCTAAAAGACTGATTAAATTCAGAGTTTTTTCAAAAAATTTTTAGCCTTCATAGAAGATAAGTACCACATACATTCCTACTGCAACTTACCAGGAAGCACACAATATTTCTTAGTTCTACTCTTAGTTCTACTGAGATTGTACTAGATTCAGTCAAGTGCCTTCTTGGATACATTTAATCCTTCCTGCTGTCAAACCTCGACTATTCAATGAAGAGAACTGGCCACCTCATCTAATGCCACTGGTTGTCTCAGACTCTCTAGGAGTAAGAGCCACACTTTAGCATGGTTTCCATCATGCCCACTGCATGGGAGAGCAGCTCCATCACTCAGATTGAACCCAAACAGGATAAAAAGCTCTGGCTTCAGATAAATGTCTTATCCTTCCTCCCCACAACGGGTTGGTTTTCAGGTTCAATGGTTCCACACAGCCTCTCTGGAGAAAATCTGCACACATGACCAAGCAACTCAGCTATATTTTGTAGATCTGTGGTCAGCTCAGTGCATCCCCATTATATTTGCTTTTACTCCTTCCCTGCCTCACTTTCTTTTCCCCCTCACTCCCGCTATCTTGGGACTACACACCCCAATCAAGTGTAGTACATAACTTTGCCACAAACTCTGTTTTCTAGAGCAGTGCTTCTAAAACATGAATGTACATAAAAATCACGTCAGGACCTGGTTAAAATACAGATTCTGAGTCAGTAAGTTGGGTAGGGCCTGAGATGCATTTCAGTACTGGCTCACAGGTGATGTCAATGTGGCTGGTTTGGGGCCCATACTTCCCATAGCAAGGTTCTAGAGAACTCGGCCTAATAAAGATTGGTCAATAGATACAGATGATGTCAGCCTGATTATAAAGTTCCCCATCAACAGTCATCAACGGTTCATGTAATGGTTTCAGGATCTTTGATGATCATCTGCCTAGATCAGCAGTTCTTAAAGTGGGGACCCTGGTCTTGCAGCATCAGCATCACTAAGGAATTTGTTAAAAATGCAAATTATTTGGCCCCATCGCTTATCTAATGAATCAGAAAATTTGGGGAGGGAGTTGCAATCTGTGTTTTAACAAACTTTTCAGATGATTCTTGGTAAAGTTTAAGAACCACTGGCCTAGATCCATGATTTCTTTAGGTTTATAAAATGGTGACTATCTAATCCCATCGGTCCTACATTTATTAACTGGAATTCTTCAATAAAAATATTTTCCTCATCAACTATTTGGTTACTCTGAAAGACAGTTTGTATGGGGAAAACAAGATATATACTTGATTCCTCCTCTTTATTTATCAATTTTCAAAGTAATGAGCAAGGATTCCATAAACCATCAATGCTGACGAATAAGGTTTGGAGGAAAGGTTTTTTTGTTTTGTTTTGTTTTTGAGCATTTATACATTTGACATGCTTTATCCTTTTAGTTACAATTCTTAATGCTCAAAGTGTCCCATCTTAGGTTGGTGTGAACTCCCTTCAAATTGACTCCTGTAACCTTTTAATAAAACCCCATTAAGTATTTTATAGCTTCCTTGTTTCCTGGTACAAAATATCCCTAACTCCACATGTACATTTTCTGTCCTAGATCTAGAGTTGACCAATTCTCCAAGGAATTAGTTTCTTTTAGTGAGGAATGATAGAGGCCACAATCTGTGACGCAGGGGTATTCATTGCTACTGGGTCATCACTGTTTCCAGGCCTTTTCAGTAGACAGAAATAGGAAATACAAATGTTTTTATGGAAAAGAAATCACGAATTCATATTGATACGGGAAAGTTTACTTTCTTACTCTTATGCTGAAAAATCTTGATTCTTAATGATGTTAATATAATTACTTATTTACTTTATCCTATAATAGAGACAAATGACAATATCAATTTTCAGTTAACAATAAAACTGGATGCTTTTACAAGAATTTTACAAGTCTTTATATGTTATGCCACCAACCTGATATAAAGCTAGGATTACTTGTTTCAGTTTCCTATTTTAATTATTTTTATTTTTTAACTTAAAACAATTACATGGTCCAAAGTCAAAACTATATATACTTAAGTTCATTAACTATACTTAACTATATATACTTAAGTTCATTCATGGACAGATCCCCTCAATCTTGTTAACTCTCTCTCCCCCATCTGTAAGGATTTTTACTAGTTTTCGGTTTACTTCTTTGGTTATTTCTTTTTGGGAAAAATATATCTAGCTAGCTCTATATTATGCACATAAAGCCATATTTCTTTCTTTTCTTATACCCTTTTCATTCTCTGATTTCACAAAGATTACTGGCCGTGGTTTGGCTATAAAATTTGTACCTTTTTCTCACTCCGTAAGATAAAACTATTATAAACTAAAGGCTTGAACTCAATTATCTAGTGTCTACTTTTTCTTAGTATTGTTTCCCACCTTTTAAATAGGTGTAAGTTATTTTCAAATCTGAAGATCATTGTCCTTGATAGAGAATATGTATTCTTTTCATGTTCTGTTAATATTATACAGTATGTTCCAAGAAATTAGTTTATCTTTTTCTTTCTTGTTCAAAATATACCCAAAACAAAAACAGTTTAGAATATTCTGCATGTTCCCTACAATACCACTTAACAAAATAAACCATACCTCGGAAACACTGTGCTTTCTGTAAAATGTGGTGGTCCATTTACCATGTATAGTCCTTCTGATCCTCGGACTGAAGAAATAAAATGGAAAGAACCATCATTACTTTGTTAATAAAGATTCAGTTATCACAAGTGTTTTTTTAAAAGCTTTAGTCAAAACATTAACAAAATCATTAAATATTTCACTGAACTACACAATGTTAGCATTAAAAGGGCATACTTTCTTACCCTAGTATATAAAATCAAATAATTGCTGAGAAACAAACATAAATTTTACAAGTATAAACTCAAAACTTTAACTGTCACCAGTGAAAGAAAGGCAGCATGGTACAGGAGAAAGGACATGAACCCAGAGGCAGACCTGGGTTTCTAACTCGCCGTGGAACCTTAGATACATCACTACCTCTGAATCTGTGCCCTAATCTATAAAATGGAACTCTTAGAACACAAGATAGTTGTATGCTTTACATAAAATAATATATAGTATATATTTATAGCTCTTGGAAATGTAAGGCATTATTAATATATTTACTATTTCTCCAACTAAAAGAACAAGTGGAATAAGACACTCATTTATTAAGCTCCCAATGACAGTAATATCCTGAAAAATAAGTGAAAACAAAGTTCAAGACTAAGTAAAATATCTATAGAACTAGACTATACTTTTTAAATGGCTGAATTAGATACTTCTAAAGCTGACCCAAATAAATGGACTCATTTATTTAACAAATACTTACTGGATTAAAAAAATCAAAAAAACAAAAAAACCCCTACCTCCTAAGTCCTATGTTGAGCACTGGAGATAAAACAGGAAGGAAAATCAGGCTTGTCTCTGACTTCATTGAACGTAGCAGACAGTAATGCAATATAATTCCAAATATATGGAATTCTATAACTGTGTTTAGTGCTACAAAGATATATGGTACCAAAGAGTGTAAAACAGAGAATTTTGACCTAAAAATAGAAAGTTAGGGAAAGTGCCCTTGAGTAAGTGATTTGTACATTGAGATCTAAAAAGAATGAATTGCAGCTAACAAGAGAACAGTAATGAGTGCAAAAACTGCATGGTAAGAGAAACCACAGAGCATCAGAAGAATGGAAAAAAGGCCTGTGTGACTGGAAGAAAATGAAGCTGGAAAAGAAAATAAGGCTCATAACAACAAGGATATTGAGGCCTACGTTAAGCCATGTTGGTCTGTTTCCTAAGAATGGTGGAAATCCTCTAGCATTTTAGGCAGATTGTTAAAAAGCAAGATCTGCATTTTGAAAAAGTCAATCTGGTACAGTGCAGACAATGAACTGGAAGGGATTATTAAGTGTGGATGTGGAGAAACTATTCAAGATGCTTCCACAGTACTCTCATAAGAGAGATTATGGAAACTTGAACTGGGGTTGGGCAGTGGAGATGGAAAGTAAGGAACGAGTATGTAATACATAGGTGAGAAAACTAACAAAACTTAAAAAATTGATGATGAGTTGCTATTTCATCACGCAGAATTTTTTTATTTTTTATTTTTTAGAGATGGGGGTCTCATTATGTTGTCCAGGCTGGTCTTGAACTCCTGGGCTCAAGAGATCCTCCTGTCTCAGCCTCCAAAGTCTCTAGGACTATAGGCATGTGCTACCACACCGGGCTTCATTAGTTAGACTTCTTACTAGCAGCAACAGTATAAGGGCTGAAGAGATGAAAACGTTTTACTAAGGGTCCTGGCTACCATTACACCTGCTTCGTTTTCTGCCAGTTATTCACAAATCTCCCACCCTTCTCCTGGTTATTGGGAAAGCAGCAAAGTTGGTAAATAGGGGCCACCCTATCTGGGTGCTCCAACTCTGATCTCTATTTCCTTTCCCTTCTCAAAAACTGTCAAGAGACAGTTCTCAAAACACTGATGTTCTACCTGAGAATTAACTAGCTCAAATTCCAGGTATTCTATGATCTCAAAGTAAATAATCTAAAGTTAGAACAAAAGTAAAAGAACCATTAAAGAGCAAGATGAAACCTAGGTCCTAATGGAGCCTCCCTCTAGTGGAGAGATGGAAAATAAATAGGTAAACACACATAATTGAATGAGCTTCTTGCTAGACATCCACAAGTATATAGATGGATGCCATGTTTTCTCATATGCAAAACACTTGGGAAAACAGTTGCCCATGGGGACAGTTTGCCTGTAAACAGAATGGAGCCTAGCAAAGTACTCTGCCTATATCAAAACCCAAACTCCTTAGATCAATGGCCTACAAGGCTCTACATGATCTAGCCTCTGCATAGCTCTATTATGTGCTAGGCATTAGAGATTAAAGGAAAAAAAAGAAAAAGGAAAAAAAGAATCCATCGCTATACTCAAGATAGTGATTTCAAAGAAGCTCAGCCTATTGCTACAGCTGGAATGAAACACTGAAGATAATCCATTCTAAAAATCTCTAATGACATTTATAAAACATCTTGTGCCAGAAAATGTTCTCCTAGATTTAAATACTATAAAGTTTAATTCTTAGCACTAAAATTCTCTTACCATACAGGCAAAGTAGTGCCATTTCTGATTACCAAATTAATAATGTATTGTAATATGAAGTATGACACACAATTTAGAAAAGGCCATTTTCTCTTAATACTATAATTAAGATTTTAACAAACATTTGAGGGATTAATCAAAAATGAATTTCTCAAGTGAGGGAGTTCATAATTATCAGATTACATTTTATTCCTACATTACATAAAAGGCTGTCACCATGAGGACCCTCCCACAAGCTGTTGCTGCAAGTAAACACACTTAAGATTAAGAGCTCTCTTTTAGAATTCACACACAGGTCTAGGATAGCAAAACGGCACATTGTTAATATAGTCCCAACGAAACTGCAGTATAAGTAGAAAAGGTTGATGAAATCAAACCATCTTCTGTTACCTTAACTGCTGGCTGCAAGAACATACGCCTAAACTGACTGGCAAAGAAGAAAAAGAAAAAAGCTTTTACCCAGCTCATCTCAGCTTCCTGTGTTCTCCTGAAACTTTTAACTAGTAGCCTTGGTCCTCCATATTTGATTTTGCTGTTATTACCAACCATTATGTTTACTTGGGGAAAACTCAAAGTTTTTGTACATTACTTAACTGGCAGCTGTACCCCAGAATCCATGAAAGTAAGTAGCCTTTTTGGCTACAGTAGTGAGAACTTTCATGGTATCCAGGGCAACCAGTAGAAGGTTTTTCTTTTCTACAATTTGTATTTCTTATCTATTTCCCAAACTAAAACAGGTAGAAGACCCCAAAGGAATGGGGGAAGAAAATCCATTTAACCCGCACTTTTTCACACACATATTCACCCTAAATCTTTTTCCTTTTGAAACGGGGTCTTGTCTTGTCACTCAGCCTGGGGTGCAGTGGCAATGATCACAGCTCGCTGCTGCCTCAAATTCCTGGACTTAAGTGATCCTCCTGCCTCAGCCTCCCAAGTAGCTGGGACTACAGGTGTGTACCACCATGTCTGGCTAATTTTTTAAAACATTTTTGTAGAGATGGGACTTTGCTATGTTGGTCAGAACTTGAACTTGAATTTCTGGCCTCAAGCAGTCCTCCCACATCAGCCCCTCGAAATGCTGAGACTACAGGCATGAGCCACTGTGCCCAGCCTAATAACCCAAAATTTCAGAAGGCAACAGAAAAGTCAGTGTGAAAATTGTCATATCTTTCTTGCTCAAGTAACATCCAAGTCTCCTGTGGCCTCTAATTCCTGGTTTTAGTATGTTTCTGGAGAAGGAAAATCTTGAGTCAAATTAATCAACTGCTTTTCAACATGTACATGTTCACATTTGAAATAAAGAAAACTTTTAAAAACAAAATCCAAAGGTTACATTTTCAATAATTCCATTTACATAATATTCTTGAAATGACAAAATTATCATGATACCAGACAGAGTGATTATAAAAGGTAGAGCTGGAAGAAAGATCTAATTACATAGAAGGGTTGCACAGAAGTTTTTTGGTGGATAGAGTTCTATATTCTAATAGCAGTAGTTGCATGAATCGATACATGTGATAAAATTTCTTAGTATTTTTGTTACATTCTCTCTCTCTCTCTCTCTCTCTCTCTCTCACACACACACAAAGAGACACAGGTAAAATCTGAATAAGGACGGCAGTTCAGTAAATACTATTGTACCAGTGTCAATTTCCTGTTTTTGATAATATACATTTATATAAGATGTTATCATTTGAGAAAATTGGGTGAAAAGTACACAAAACTCTCTTTACTGCTTTTGCAACTTCTGTGAGTCTTAAATTATATCAAAATGAAAAGCTTTTAAAAATCATTTTTGGTAATGTTTTGTTCACAATTTAACAAGAAATTAAACCAATTGCAAGTTTAAGTTTTCAACACTGGGTTTTACTTGGGAATACTGGACAAAAGTACAGAGTTATAATCAAATACTGAATAGACTAAGATTTTGTACTAAGGTAAAAACATTTCAAGAGACAAAAATATATATCAAAGCTACTATGAAGGCTGACAATATTGATGGTCCTCCCTCCATTAAACTAGACAACCTTCTTTGTACATGATACTTTATGATAGATATGTCTGTCTTAGGATATCAATTGAAGTGATTACCAATTGAATTCATAACAAAAATCATATTGGGTCATTACAGTTTTGTTCATAAATATAAATCACTATTTAAAACAAATATTTTATTCCATACCTCCCTATAGAGAAGCCTAACTAGGATAAAGTGCTGCAACACATTTTGCACCTCTAAGATACTTTACTAGATTTAATCAGTTTTATACAGCTTCCTCATACAAACATGTTTTTTTTTCCTTTTTTTTTTTTTTTAAAAAGTGTTTGGTCTGTTCCATTCGAACGCTGTTGAAGCAAGAGACAGATTCACAGGACCGCCGAACATGCTGCCTCAAATCTGAATAAATTATAAACAAAGTTTATTAGGAGAAACAAAATCAGGTCTATAACAAAACATAAAGTGTTCTGCAAGTTAATAAAAACAAAAATAAATATGGACTAAAAACAAACTCTTTTCAATACACAAACAAATTTGTTCTACAAATAACTTTTTAATGAGGAATCCATTTTAATTAGAAATGTCTGAATGTGAAACGGTGAATATAATGTATAGTTAGCTTAATACAGTGTCTTCAGACTTGGTGTGATTCCTTATTTTTAATTATTTCCTCCTTTAATCAAAGGGTATGAGTAATATGTTCTATTAGAAAAAACTAGAATGCAAACAATTCCTTTCATTACAACAACAAATAAATGCCAGAGTTTCACATAGTAACTGTTTAAAAATAATAACTGAAGTTGTATTACATAGTATCTTTTCTAAACTTACTAGTCTTTCTAGAGACTCATATACTATTTATTGCTCCAGGTTTGAGTTAGAATGAGAAAAACACTGGGGTGTCACAAACCAGGGTCCCATGTCAGCGATATAGTAATCTTTAAAATATGATACTTTCCCCAAACCTTACATTTCCTGAACTACATATCAGTTTAGGAAAATGTCTCAATTTTGAATAGATTCTCTCAATGACCTCAACTAGGAAAGCTGATTAGTGAACATGAATTTCACGTAATGGACATTGTTGTTTTACGTGCCTAGCATCTAGCCCCTTTTCTTTAGGAGACATTAATCTTTTGTGAACTATCTAGTAGTTAAAATATAATTTGGTCCTGACCATCTGACTAAAAGTTGGCTGATGCAAAGATGAACAGGAACCAAGCAAAGTCACAGCTAGCCTTGAGACTTTTGCTGAGACTACTGGCAAAAAATAATGCTCTTTCCTTTAGAACTACTGGGCTGGTTGAATGTTAGACTGATAATGAATTTAATCTAGAAGAAAGCAAGGATCTAGGGATGAAGAAAAACAGATTTCTGAAGCATGTGAGTACCTGCATATGGCAGTACTGGAGCTTTTAGGGTACATGAGTTTAAAAAAAAAAAAAAAACAACTCTTTTCATCTGCTTTGGTTTTTTTGTCATTTCTAATTAAGAGCCATGACTAATAAAATTTACTGGATGATTTCCAAATTATTCACAACTCTAAAATCCCATCAGTCCATGTTTAACAAAACACTATGGAAGTAAAATAATCTATTGTTGAGTGAAATATCTACACTAAGAACATTTAAAAAATTAAGCAGTGTATTCTAGTGAAAGAAAAATGGATCATGGAGTTGAATGATCTGAATACATATAATCCCAACCTTGCCAATTTGCAGGGTGAATCTGACCACACAATCTCTCAGTATCTCTAAGAATATGAGGGGTAGACTGAATAGGTAACCTTTAAGCTCTTACAAAGTCCTTGATTTTAAGCACTGCAAGAAAACAGTCATCCTTGGTTAATTTAACTATAAAGTAGTTATCCTTTGTTAATTTATTTCTCCGTTAAACATTTAGAGTACCTACTGTTTACCAGGCACTATACTAGGTACTGAGAAGACAGAGATGAATAAGACCCTGCCCTGACATCAAGGGGCTCACAGTCTAGCAGAGGAGAAAAACTGAACATCTAGAAAATTATCCCATAAGTGAAAAAAAATTTCAATTATACATGAGGTACAAAAATAGACTGTGGAGTGACTGCTAGTAGCAAGAGTGAGGAAAGGCTTCACAGAACAATGATGTCTGATACGAATTGTAACAAATGAAAAGAAATCTGTCAAATCAACAAGACGAACAGAATATTCCTAGGCCAAAGAAATAGGTTATTCAAAGGGATTTACAAGCAGGTCAGTATTGATGGAACACAAAATAAGATGTGTTGGTAAGAAAATAAATGAGTGTCAAGAGCTATTCAAGGATTATAAAGGGTTCCCTATGCTATGCTACCCAGGACAGAATTTACCCTGTAAGCAGTGAAGAACCACTGCAAGCATTTGAAAAGTTTATCAGATTTTAAAATATAATAATTTTTTATTAGAGCTCAAATAAGCATTTAGTATTCAAAAATTGTAAATAACATACAAGCTACCTTCATGAATCTAGAGAAAAAATTCATTTAAGTATGTAATTATGTAACTATGCCTTTTAAACAGTTTTTGCCTAACATATTATCTAGCAGATTACAGTCATCGATTGATACATGATTGATGAATAAACTAGTAGATAGACTGAATATGAGTAGGCATGGTGCTTAATACCAAAGGTCTTAAAATTGTAGAATAGCAAAAAGTGCAAAAACTTTTCAGGTTTCTTTCAAGTCTCAGGGAAAAATGATCCCCTTCCTCGAACTGTAAACGACCTTTCTCGTAATGACTTCTTTTTTCCTCCTATGTAGTCACTGCCACTTATTCAAAGTCTTCTTTTCCCTCCCAACTCCCCTCTCCTTATTTGATACTCATATACAAGGACTCCCAGGCATACCCTAGTCCAGTGTCTTCTTCCCCGGCACTGTCCAATACTGACTTTATTATCTTCTTCAACACTACAAACTCTCCTCAGCTTCAGTATCTCAGGAGTCCTCTACTAAAACGCTCATAGACATTTCAGTATCAAATGTTGCTAGAATATTTCTATCATGCTCACTACTACTCCCCCAAACCACACCTTCATCATTTGAAATGTGCACTACCACAGCTCCACTCTTACTCAGTCCTACAAACCTCTTTAAGGCAGGGAGTACGAAATTCAGAATTACGTAAGTCCAGGTGTATTTAATGTGTGTGGTCATTCTACAGGACTAAAGGATATGCTTATCTTTTGTTCTTATTACAGAGCTAAATGACTTCACAGGGACCCATGTAGCACCAGTATTGCAGACCCAGAGTTCACAAATTGAACTAGTACTTTCTGTTCTTCTCCCCCGTCTTCTATTCCTGCAGAAGACCAAGAGGCAGGGAAAAATGACGGATGGGTAAAAGGGAGGGGGAATACTGGAGCCCAGGGGCGGAGGCTTCACTTCCGATTGCCACGCGATATCAAGAAAGCCAAAAAGTCTGGCTTCGCAAGCCACAAGAAAAGGTGGATCAGACTCCAAGCCTCCTCGAGTAAGTTCTCAAGGGCAAAGACAGAAAACGAAACTGCTCTAAAGAAACAAGAGTCCCTTGCTTGTTCAGAACTCACCTGTCAACAGCGGCGTGGACGGCGCCATGTTGTCCCGTGTGAGAGTTCACGAGGGCCGAACCCAACCCCTACACGTCTCCTCAGCCGTGGAGACTGCGAGTTGGTGTTTCCGGGGCCACCAGCCTCGGGGCCGATTCACTTCCGGTTGCGGAGACAAGAGGAAAAAGGAGCCGAACGCGCACGCGCAAGCACTGGAACGATGCTTTACAGAGCTTGGGAGGGCTGGACTAGGGCGATTGTGCTTGCTCTCGCTCTCTCTCTTCAGAGGGCGGAGCCCGCCCTTCCGCGGGGCGGAGCCCGCTTAGTGCTGACGTTGGCAGCCGAACCCGAAGTAGTTCGAGGCGGCGGGCTGCACCGTCAGGTTGTGTTGCGTTTCCTTCCTCTTTCACTCCACGCTCCCGGCAGCGGCGCGAGGGCGTCCCGGCGGCCTGCTCTCTTCCTCCCGCGCACCCTCCTAGCTCGGCTGGTCAGTGCGGCGTCGTCAGTCAGTCGACAGCCCTTGCCCCGCTAGCGCTCAGTCCCCGCGCTCTCCGCGCCCAGGCCTTCGGCTGTAGCTCGTGCCCGGCCTGATAGCCTCGGTGCTCCGGTGGCGCGGGCACCCGGAACGGAGCCTCGCAGCGGCTCGAGGATTGGCGAGCGTGCGAGTGTGAGGGGTGGCCGGGGCAGGTGGTGGCGCCGCGAAAATGGTCGCCAAACAGCGGATCCGTATGGCCAATGAGAAGCACAGCAAGAACATCACCCAGCGCGGCAACGTCGCCAAGACCTCGGTAAGGAAAGAGCGGGCGCCCCTCTCCGTTCCACAGCTGGGGCTGAGTCCCGGGCCCTGGGGCCGCGTCGAGTAGTCTTCCGCAGACCCGGCCGACTCTGGGCTCCGGGTGCCGTGGACGGCTGGGAGCCCGAGGCTGCGAGCCGGACGCTAAGTCGGGGGGCTTGGGAACAGAGGGGAAACCTGTGAGGTGAGGAGGCCTGGCGACCTGGCCCGGGGTGCAGGCTTTGGAAGCCTGGGATCCGAGTGGTTTCTCTGCATCTGAACGGTGGATTTTCGCTTTTGCAGAGAAATGCCCCCGAAGAGAAGGCATCTGTAGGACCCTGGTTATTGGCTCTCTTCATTTTTGTTGTTTGTGGCTCTGGTAAGTGTCCTGGGGGATCCCATCGGGTAGAGTCTTGGGTGAAGGGTTTGGGATGACGTGGTGACGGATCAGTGGTGAGACCCACCTGCGTAGTTCTTATTCCACCTGCCAGAAGCGCCATATAATTCTATTTTGTATGAACCAAATTACTTGTCCCACATATGCACAGAGGGTGGTGCTCCAGAAACTTCTCCCAGCTTGATTTGTGCTCACAGGAGATCAGAAAGGAGGTCAGGTCTTTGGTAATAATCAAGTTGGAAGAAATTTAAGACCAAACAAGCCGACGAAAAACTCACGGAATGAGAATTTAGAATGTAATGCAACTACATTATCAGTGCCTTTGCAAAGAATCTTATAAACATCAGGTACATATGGAGTTAGAGCTTGATTTAATATGTACCAGAACCTAATGTCTTTGTGTCAAAATTGGGTGTTTTATAGAATAAAGCTTGTGCAAACAATGGGTTTACTATAGAGGAAACGTACCTGATTGACAATTTAATATACGAGACAAATGTTTTTAAATTAATAAAAAAAAATTGACATGTGGTAAGAAAAATTAGGTTGTCTGGGCAGTCTGTTACAGTAATAGACATTTGCCTCTGCAAATGAGTTACAAAATGTCTTTCCTCTCTTCATTTATTATCTTAATATGCAAGCTGTTAAAATTGAAGTAGATGTTTCTGTTTCCCACATTCTAAAGTTATTGAGATTTCTGTTTAACATTTCACTTTGCCTTTCTCCTAAACTTACCAATAGGAAGCTTTCCTGATAAATGGCCAAGAGCCAAGTAGTTTATATAACCTAAAGATGATTGAATTTCAGCTTTGTGAGAATGAGGAAACATGAATATATTATAGACCAGACCTTAAAAAGATGCTTAATTATTTAGGGATAAACCAAAAATAACTCTGTGCTAGAAAAACCTATTTGCTTTGGTGCTTTAAGTTCTTTCTAAAAATGATTAGTTATCTGCAAACCTCACTTGGACACTTAGACATAAAGTTCACGGAAGCTGAGATTTACAAAAATAACTTAGGGGCATTTGTTTATTAAGATAGACTTGTCTTCACTTCTGATTACAATGAAGTTAGGTAGCATTTGCAAATATTAAGAGTATCCTTGGATTCTTCATCTACCTTTATAAATATTTGCCAGTCTGCAGACCTATTTTAATTAAAGCTTATTTTAATATTTGCTCTTTCTCTTTACAGCAATTTTCCAGATTATTCAAAGTATCAGGATGGGCATGTGAAGTGACTGACCTTAAGATGTTTCCATTCTCCTGTGAATTTTAACTTGAACTCATTCCTGATGTTTGATACCCTGGTTAAAAACAATTCAGTAAAGCATCCTGCCTCAGAATGACTTTTCCTATCATCCTTCATGTGTCATTCCAAGGTTTCTTCATGAGTCATTCCAAGTTTTCTAGTCCATACCACAGTGCCTTGCAAAAACACCACATGAATAAAGCAATAAAATTTGATTGTTAAGCTACAGTAGTGGACCCTACTTATTTAGTCAGTGAAGAGTGAGATTTTTATGTGGTTATTGAAATAGTATGCAGAATGGGCAATTAGAGTAAATCTGTGTAGACAGTGTCTAGATTTTGTTAACCGTAATGTGTAACTGCAGTTAGCTTAATTTAAAATTTAGAGTCTTGTGGTTTTTATATAGCTAGGCACTTTATTACTCTCTCTTGAATTCAAAGCACACTCCCTTATAGGGTCATGTAACTGTCCTGTCATAAGGTGCTTACAAATGGAACAACTACATAGTTAGCCTAGTTTTACCACAACTTTCAGCATCTAAAAATTTTAAAAAGCTTCTAAATGCCTAATATAAAGGGAGATGCTTATAGCCACAACATCTATTTTAACAATATAGTTTCTATTGTACTACCTTGCATTTTGCATGAGCGAGTATAGTAACCTAAGATGCCATTAAAAAAAAATCGAGCATTTTGTAACTTAATCAGTCACTGAGGTTTCACTAAAAGCTATCATGATGGAGTGAAGTCAGTCTGGGAAGGTTTGTTTATGTCACATTGATTTTACCAGAATTATTTTAATATATCAAAGGGATTTACTATGCTAGACAAAATTTTAGGGAAAAATATTACTAAAAATGAATGTCCCATCAGGACATGCTGTTGAGTCCAACATGCCATAAGACATCTTAGCATGTTAATATAATAGCACTTTTAATAGCAACAAGGCACATCAACTGAAAAGTATGCTTAGTGTGGAAATGCTTTTTCTAGATTTATAATTGAAATGCTATTAGGGTACTAGATACATCAGTGACATTTGGAATTAAATGGATTTACTGATAAGGATCAATCTTTAGTCTTCCCTTTGTTGTATGATTTTTATAGATTATGATTGATCAAATTTTCTTTTATTAATGGTAAGAGGGTGATAGGGCAGGTTTTTGAGTTTTCTAGTACTGTTGAAAACTGCAAGTATTGGCTATTTATATACTTAGCCATAACTTGAAGAAAAAAAGCCTGAGCAGTGTCTATGTAGTAATGAATTGGAAAAAGAAAGCTGCTTATATTTGCTTTGTTAATTGCCTCAGGATATCTCTTTTAAAATAAGCTGTTTTAAGAGGAACAGAAGGGAAATCTACCTAGTCTATAACACAGTGTGAACCTCATTGAGGGCTTCTGATACCCTCAAATATGGAGAAGAGTAAGGGAGAGAAGTGGTTAAGGATGGTTGAGAACTTAACTACTCTGGAATAGTAAAGGAATCAGCTGACCTTGGGCCAGCAGGTTTTTAACTGAATTGTCACCTGCCTTTCTCACCCAGTAAATCAACCCCTGTACTTGTTTCTCTCTTTGAAACAAGCGTCTTGGTTAACTAATCCTATTTTATTGTAACTTTAAAAATGAAAGTTATTGCTCTAAATTCATAGCAGGTGCCTTATTCTTTGCTTTGAGTCAAACCATTCCATATGAGAATTTTCCTTGATTTACTATAGATAATTGGCTTCAAGGTGTTTTTTGTTTTTGTTTTTTCATGTACAATGTTTTTGATTAATTTGTTAAATCACTATAGCCGGCAATCATTTTGCATATGTAAAATTGCATTCCCTTTGTATTTCATGTGTAATTTACCAGTGGAGTACATTTTATATTCAGGTTGGATTATGCATGTTTGGATAAACAAAAACTGTGTTTTATTTGACTTCTCCTTTAAAAATAAAGTTCCCGGAATATTTGATGCTTATCTTCTAAAAGAAAATGATTTTATAGACTTACCTGAGTGTACTTTTTATAGTTAGTAGCAAATGATTGTAAAGAATGCCTAGTATTATGTTGTACTTAAGTTAAAAGAAATAGTACCCAGGGGCACGGATGTAAGGTTTTATAACTGAAAATGGGTAGTAAGAAAAAATATATAAAAAGCACAATGAATTAAATTTTTTCCACTTAGGATTTACTCATCTCATTGTTATCCAAGTCAGGTTCAAGGAAAAGGACAATTCTTTGATCTCCCTTTCTCCGTTGAATTTTATATATCACCTAGTGTTGAGCACAGTATGAGAATAAATACTTTGGAGTTGTCTACATTATCCAATTACTCTTTGTGGTTTAGCTCTAACATTTCAAGGAGTTGTCAGTTATTTCATTTTATCTGTTGGGTTGTATAGTATATAATGTTGCTCAAAATGATTAAGTATATAATGTTGCTTCCAAAATAAGTAAAAGATTTTCATTGTAACAGGACACATCGTAATGGGCTTTGACTTACATTAAAGAAATATATGTACTCAACTGCAGGGCCATGTCTCTTCTCACTGAGGTTACTGGAGTTCTGTTGGCACAAAGGACATCTATACAGAGCTGGATTATGTTCTTGGGCTCAGTAGCAGATTCACCAACAAAACTTTATTGTGCTTTAACATCTGTGAACTTTAGAGCATCATTAAATTCTCCATTTAGAAATTGTTCTTTAGTTTGATTTTCCTTTACCTACTTTTA